TGGAAAAAAAAAATTAGTAGTATCAAAAATGGCAAGAAGAAGTAATTTTCTAGTAACCAAAAAATATTAGTATAATTGACTAAGACACAGAAATTACCAAGATGAATCTGTTTTGAAGTAAGAGATGATAAACAATTTAGTTATATAGAAGCAGAGTTTCAGATCATAGGAGAGCATCCACTATCTTATGAGTAGCTGGAAATGTGGATTTCAGATCAGTAAAAAGGAGAGTTCAGCCTGGGTAATATAGGAATACCACATCTCTTCATAAAATAAAAAACATTAGCTGGGCATGGCAGCATGCCTGTAGTCCCAGCTACTTGGGAGGCTGAGACTGGAAGGTCCCTTGAGCCTGGGAGATAGAGGGTGTGGTGAGCAGTGATGGCACCACTGCCCTCCAGCCTGGGTGACATAGCGAGACCCTGTCTCAAAATAAATAAAGAAATAAAAATAAAAAAGGAGAGTTGAACTCATGAGATGATTTTTCCTCCCGGAAAAAACAAAATTAAAGCTGAGAAGATAGCCAGTGAAAGAGATGCAGAAGTCAAGAGAAAGGAATTTGAAGAAACAGAATCAGATGGAATAGTGTGGTTGAGAAGACTCCTTCCTGTATAATGCTTTTTTTTTTTGAGTTGGAGTCTCACTCTGTCGCCCAGATTAGAGTGCAGTGGCCGCTCCCGGCCACCGCAGCCTCGACCTGCTGGGCTGCGGCAATCCTTCCGCCTCAGCCTTCCGAGTAGCTGGAACAACAGGCACGTGCTACCACACCCGGCTAATTTTTTCTTTTTGATTTATTATAGAGATGAGGTCTCGCCAAGTTGCCCAGGCAGGTCTCGAACCCACGGGCTCAGGCAATCCACTCACCTCAGCCTCCCAAAACGCGAGATTACAGGCTGAGCCACCGAGCCTGGCTCTGTATAATGCTTTTAAGGTGGAAGAATAAATAAAGCTTTCAGAGAACAAGTGCCTAGCCAAACTGACAGAACAGTCTCATACATGAAGAATCACACCTAATTTTGAGAAAAATGGAAGGATAATGTAGAAAGAGCAGGCCACATGACAATAATCTTGCCATAAAAGCATTAAAGCCTGACTCAGAAATTCAACCCACAGAAAATTATTAATAGGTCCTTCCTGTTTGCAAAACAGCACAAACATGCTATGTCACCCAAAATAAAACAATCAGACCTTTCTCCCTTTCTGTACCTTGTTTTTTAAAATATGTGGATTAAAAAAACCCTCTACTGATTCCAATGTTAATTTCAACTTCTATTCAACAATAAATTATCAGTCTCGTCGACTATAGATTGCTTTGGTGGAACTTTTGGGTTTTTTTTGTTTGTTTGTTTGTTTGTTTTTGAGTTGGAGTCTCACTCTGTCGCCCAGACTGGAGTGCAGTGGCCACTCCCGGCCACTGCAGCCTCGATCTGCTGGGCTCCGGCGATCCTTCCACCTCAGCCTTCCAAGTAGCCGGAACTACAGGCGCGTGCTACCACACCTGGCTGATTTTTGATTTATTGTAGAGATGAGGTCTCGCCAAGTTGCCCAGGCGGGTCTCGAACCCGCAGGCTCCGGCAATCCACTCACTTCAGCCTCCCAAAGGCGCGGGATTACAGGCTGAGCCACCGAGCCCAGCTGCTGGAACTTTTGGAATGGTTTTCAATTTTATTTTTTTTTAACTTAAAAACCATTAAAGATTGTAAGCTCAGTAACAGTTGACATCAGTGTGTTTTGTTTTCAAATTAAGCACAGCCCAAAAATTTCCTATTAAGTGACAGCTTTTTAGAAACATTTCTCTCTCTCTCTCTTTTTCTTTTTTAAATTCCACGGCTGTCTTAGCTACCGCAAAGCATAATTTATGGATAGTTGGTTAGGGGCGTACTTTGATATTCTTTTAGTACTAAAGATTCTTTTTTTTTTAGAAATTAACTTTATGCCCTCTAAAGCAAAGCTTAAATCAGATGCTAAATTTTAGATGATTCTGTTACAAATGTATCTATATTTGCATATATGTCTATTCACGTATTTATGAAGATTCAAGAGAGCCTCTCAAGACTCAGTTCCAACAATGGTGGTTTAAGTGGAAAAACCAGGCAAAACAGCACTGCTCTAAATTTAAAGGAAACAAAACTAATTCTGAGAAAAAATAAAAATTAGATTGACATACAGGGTCCGACAAGTTTGCGAACTCATCCAAGAAAAAATGCTACATGCTTCACTGCTAAATATCATTACGGTCACCTTCAAAGTATTCCCCTTGGGAAGCTATGCACCGATGCCAGCATCTAGTCCACCTGTCAAAGCGATTTTGGAACCCTTTTTCTGGAATGGCCATCAGGGCCGTTGTCGTTTTACCCTTGATGTTCTGAATGTCATCAAATTTCTTCCTTTCGAGATTTCCTTTATCTTTGGGTAAAGAAAAAAGTCACTGGGGGCCAGGTCAGGTGAGTAGGGAGGGTGTTCCAATACAGTTATTTCTACAGTGCTGTCGGGGTAAGCACATGGTGGCAAGTTTGCGAACTTAATTGTCAGACCGCAACAAATAATGATGACAGCTCTTATGGCCACTCTAGAAAAAGAGACTTCTAAGCGTGAGACCCGATCTGCCTGGAATGGGGTTGAGGGGGGAATGAAAACAAGTGCTAATTCTTAGATGCGTCTGAAAACAGAGTGCAAATCACAGCCACCCACAACAGTAGTCAATTTCTTATTTTTTTGAGTTGGAGTCTGACTCTGTCGCCCAGACTGGAGTGCAGTGGCCGCTCCCGACCACTGCAGCCTCGACCTGCTGGGCTCCAGCGATCCTTCGGCCTCAGCCTTCCAAGGAGCTGGAACTACAGGCGTGCGCAACGACGCCCGGCTAATTATTGTTAGAGATGAGGTCTCGCCAAGTTGCCCAGGCAGGTCTCGAACCCGCGGACTCAGGCAATTCACTCACCTCAACCTCCCAAAGCACGGGATTACAGGTTGAGCCACCGAGCCTGGCCAGTTTCTTATTTTTACTCATCTAGTTCTCTTCCAGCTTCAGTAGCTCTGCCTTCTCCCCCCGCATTTCAGTTCCCATCCACTTGTCAAACCAACCTTACTAGGGAGCAGTGGGTACTTTCACAAGAGGAAGGAGGAGCCCTGAAGACCACAGAAAGCCTGTTCCCCAGGAACCTACCTGACTGTAGGGGACCTGTCAGGGCAGGGTACTTCAGGCCTGGGTGTAAACTCGGGGCACAGAAAAACAGCAGAGGCTGTTCACTTCTAACAAGTCACTGACATTTGTGTCTAAACAACCTCAGAAGCAAACGAAATGACCTCACATGGCCCTTATGGCAAGGGATAGAAACAGGCCTGTGTGGAAAGAATGCAGAAAATGGCAACAGACCTATGAAAACCAGTTTCCACTAAATTTCCAAAATTTGGGCTCTAGTATAAGAATAACAAAAAGGATGAGATGTAAGGGCTGGGTCCCCCAGTTAAAACAGGAACCCTTACAAAATACAGTACAACCTTTTTTTTTTTTTGAGTTGGAGTCTCACTCTGTCACCCGTACAGCGGCATGCTCCCAGCCACCGCAGCCTCGACCTGTTGGGCTCCGGCGATCCTTCCGCCTCAGCCTTCCAAGTAGCTGGAACCACAGGCATGCGCTACCACGGCTGGCTAATTTTTGATTTATTGTAGAGATGAGGTCTCGTCAAGTTGCCCATGCGGGACTTGAACCCGTGGGCTCAGGCAATCCACTCGCCTCGGCCTCCCAAAGTGCTGGGATGACAGGCTGAGCTACCGAGTCCGGCCTGTAGCTAGCAACTTTAGAAAAGCCATGGGTCATCTGCCAGAAAGAACTCTGACAACCTGAGTCAGTCTTAAGTTTTAAAATACCTAGACACTCTGGATACCCTGGGACATGTTGGCCAAGCATTTTATTTTCCCAAGGTACATAAAGAGAGTATATCCTGTTTTAGCAGTTTTGCATTCACAGATATCAAAGTAAAAATGGAGTTGGCACCACCTCCTTGCCCAGTGTTCTTGAAGACAGTAAGTGAGTGTGCAGCTTCCTGTTCTAGTCTCAGCTTCCTGCTAAGCTAGTCCCGTGACCCATATTTCCAGGCAATTATGTGGCAAATACTACAGTGGCTAACCTTTCACAAGAGCCTGCAGTCACAAGAGAAGAATCAGACACCTCAGCACTAGGTCTTATACCTTTCTGGCAGCACGCCGGGAGCACTTGTCTATAAATTCAACAGCAGCATTATTTTATCACAGAAGGCAGCGAGGAGCCCTTGCAGTGTGCAGTCTCATAACTTTTCACATAAAAAGAACCCTGTGGGCTGGGTGCAGTGGTAGCTCAGCCTATAATCCCAGTACTTTGGGAGCTCGAGGCGAGAGGATTGCCTGAGCCCATGGGTTCAAGACCAGCCTGGGCAACTTGGTGAGACCTTGTCTCTACAATAAATCATAAAAAAACTAGCACCTGTAGTTCCAGCTACTTGGAAGGCCGAGGCGGAAGGATCGCCTGAGCCCAGCAGGTTGAGGTGGTGGTGGCTGTGAGTGTGCCACTGCACTCCAGCCTGGGTGACAAAGAGTGGAACTCCAACTCAAAAAATAATAATAAAATAAAATAAAATAAAAGGAACAGGAACCCTGTGTTTACTGTCCTTATATTTTCTCAGTAGTATGTAAGCTGTACCATGACTCCACTCACATACACATACCCTCTAGTGCCACATTATACTGTGATTACAGTATAATAAGAAGTAAAAATGATCCTAATCCTGGGGCTAGGGTTTATTGTTACTTAAAACTCAGCCCTTTGCTTACACTGTATCACATCCTAGATTCTGCTTCATAATCCATCTGCAAACTCATAAAGGCATGCAAGAAAGCACGGTTATCATCGTAACATCCATTTGCTCCACGTTAGGGATCCATCATCCTTGAGATAAAATGACAACACATGGACAAGAGTAATCCTAAGTGGTCCACTGAGGGCTGTGGCCACGGGGCCTGGGTACCTAGCTGTTTGTCCCGTTCCTCACGGCGCTCCCGGGCCAGCCGCTGCCGGTCGTCAACCCGTAGCACAGGTGGAGGGTCTGAAAATGAGACAAAAACAGGAGAAAAAGAGTGGATTAAAAAAAGAGAAAGATATACATTGATAAATATCCTTTAGTCCAATAATCTGATGATTGAAATATTGCCACCGTTTTACAATGATTATCACGTGTAGCTAAAGTTACGGTGATACACTTTGTTACAATAACTTTTCTGAGAATTTCCAAGTGTTTTTCTACACTATACAGAATCATAACATAACTGTAGCCCTAACGCTCTTCTCATCAAATAATATAAAATGTTTTGTGTTCCTAAGCTACCAGATGTCTGTTATTTTTATACTTTAAAAAAGTCTGTTCCTACTTCTACACTGTTGGTGGGAGTGTAAACTAGTACAGCCTCTGTGGAAAACAGTGTGGCAATTCCTAAAAGATCTAAAAATCGACCTCCCATATGACCCTGCAGTCCGCCTACTGGGAATATACCTGGAGGAACTCAAATAACTCTGTGAAAAAGATACCTGTGCACGCATGTTTATTGCAGCACTATTTACAATAGCAAAAACACAGAACCAACCATGCTGTACCTATACACAATGGAATATTATCCAGCTATAAAGAAGGACAAAATTATGAACTGTGCAGCAACTTGGATGGACTTAGAGGCAGAAACAAAGAACCAAGTATCACATGTTCTCACTCATAAGCAGACCTTGAACAACTATCATAATACTATAAAAAAGGAACTGGCAGTAGTGAGAAACTGCTGAGTAGGGCGGGGGCGGGATTGTCAGTCGTAGGAATCTGCCAGGGTGGGGGGTACACCTCATCAACAAGGGTACCTGCATAATGAACATTTAGATACCTAATCCTGAATGGTACCCCACGTATTTAAAAATAAACACTTTTTAAAAAGCCTGTTCCTTAACAACAAATAGAACCCTAACTAAGTGGCATTACATGGAATAAATGTTTGCCAGTTAGAAGCAAATTGCTGGAGTCAGGCAGATGTGTTTGCAGTGTCACTCACTGGCCATGTAAATTTGGCCAAGTTAGTTATCCCCAACTCTAAGTCTCAAGCTGTGATGTGTGCTTTTATTTATTGCCTGAAAATGAGGATAAAATAGAACCTATCTCACATCATTATAATGATAAGTGTTAGTATAGTGTCCAGCACGTCAGTCGCAGTAAATCCATTCATTCACTCAATACACAGAACGTCTACTGTGTGCCAGGCATTGTTCTGCATACTGCAAAGACAGCAGTCAGTGAAAAAAGACAGTTCTCATGGGATTTACATTCCACTCGGGAAAAATTTAATAAACAGAATAAGTAAAATATGTAGAATGAAAAAAGGAGAAAAGTACACAGACTGTTAGACTGAGATGAATGCTGAAGAGACAAGACAATGACTGTGATTGTGACATGTCAGGAAAAGGATGTTTCAATTTTTAGAGGGGGCCCAAGGATGTCCCCATGGTGACAGTTTTTCTGTAAAAACACCCAATAGAAGTTAGGGAGCAAGCTGTGCAGATATCCTGCAGAATGTAAGTGTAAAGGCCCTGAGGTTGTGAGTACCTACTGTGTTCAAGAAACAACAGGGCTGGGCGCAGCGGGTCAGCCTGTAATCCCAGCACTGTGGGAGGCCAAAGCGAGAAGATTGCCTGAGCCCTGGGGTTCAAGACCAGCCTAGGCAACTTGGTGAGACTGTGTCTCCACAATAAGTCAAAAAAAAAAAAAAGATGGGCGTGGTAGCGCACGCCTGTAGTTCCAGCTACTTGGAAGGCTGAGGCAGAAGGATTGCCTGAGCCCGGCAGTTCAAGGCTGCACTGACCCTGAGCGTGCCACTGCACTCCAGCCTGGGCGACATAGTGAGACTCTAACTTAAAAAAAAAGAAAGAAAAGAAACTACAGGGAGATACAAGGGACTGGAACAGAGTTAGATCCATGAGCAGCCGGGCTAGAGACACAGGGCATGAGACTATCTATGGTGAGGACTCTGGATTAGACTCTGAGAGAGATGTGTGCATTAGGGATGGGGGGGAGGTTCAGCAGAGGGTGATATTTACAGGCTCATGCTGCCCACTGACATATAAAAACAAAACAATCATGATGATCAGCATAATAATTATACTTAAAGTCAGGCTAATTTTTCCCTCACTGACATTACATTTTCAGAATCTTTTGTTAAAAATAAGAAGCGACTATAATAATACACTAGAGACAACACAGTAGTCCTTCATGAACGAATTTATAAGTCTCCCATCCCAAATGCCTCTTGAATTTACAGAATATGTACATTTAAGGGAAATAAAAACCACATAAAAGCCCATGAGGAGTCTGCATAAGTCACACAGTGTGGATGGTGATAGGTCATACTTTTCCCTTGTTTTTGGGTATGGTTTATTTTATTTATTTATTTATTTTGAGTTGCAGTCTCACTCTGTCACCCAGGCTGGAATGCAGTGGTGCTCACGACTACTGCAGCCTTGACCTGCTGGGCTCAGGTGATCCTTCCGCCTCAGCCTTCCAAGAAGCTGGGACTACAGGCATGCACCACCATGCCCGACTAATTTTGATTTATTGTAGAGATGAGGTCTTGCCACGTTGCCCAGGCTGGTCTCGAACCCATGGACTCAAGCAATCTTCTCACCTCAGTGTCTCAAAGTGCTGGGATTATAGGTGTGAGCCACCATGCCCGGTGCAAAATGGTATTTTGAAGAAAGAACTGAGAACAAAAGTCAAGATGAAATTAAAAGAAAGGCCTTTAACAATTACTTACTGCTTAAATAATACTCCTTAAATAATATGAGGTTTACTCACTCAGAAAAACTTTCATTTACTTATAAAAGTTGAAAATCAAAAATCAACTACAAATGGATCAAAGACCTAAATGAAAAACCTCAAACGTTAAGAATCTTAGAAAACGCAGGAGACACGCTTACAGAAATCAGCAACCAATTTCTGATCAAAACCCCAAAAGCCCATGACATTAGAGACAAGGTTGACAAGTGGGACCTCATCAAACAGAAAAGCTTCTGCAAAGCAAAAGAAACCATCAAAAGAGCGGGGAGAGCCCACAGAATGGGAAAAAATATTCGCCAACTGTATATGAAACAAAGGCCTAACATCCATGATCTATAAGGAACTCAAATGTGCCAAAAAGAAAAAAACAAACAGCCCCATTACAAAGCAGGCAAAAGACTTGAACAGATACTTCTCAAAAGAAGACATATGGCCGGGCTCGGTGGCTCAGCCTGTAATCCCGTGCTTTGGGAGGCTGAGGTGAGTGAATTGCCTGAGCCCGTGGGTTCGAGACCCGCCTGGGCAACTTGGCGAGACCTCATCTCTACAATAAATCAAAAAATCAGCCGGGTGTGGTAGCGCATGCCTATAATTCTGGCTACTTGGAAGGCTAAGGCAGAAGGATCGCTGGAGCCCAGCAGGTCGAGGCTGCGGTGGCCGGAAGTGGCCACTGCACTCCAGTCTGGGTGACTGAGTGAGACTCTAACTCAAAAAAACAAAAACAAAAAACAAAAACAAAAACAAACAAACAAAAAAGAAGACATACGAGCAGCCAACAGACACGTGAAAAATGTTCAGCCTCACTAATAGTCAGAGATGCAAATCAAAGCCACATTGAACTACCACCTAACTCTAGTAAGAATGGCCATCATTAATTAAAAAAAAAAAACCAAGCAAAGAAAAGGGAACACTTTTACACTGTTGGTGGGAGTGCAAACAAGTTCAACCTCTATGGAAAACAGTGTGGCAATTCCTAAAAGAACTAGAAATTGACCTTCCATGTGACCTAGGAATCCCCTTTTGGGGGATATACCCAGAGGACCTTAAATCACTCTACAAAAAAGATTCTTGCGCACGCATGTTTATTGCAGCACTACTTACAATAGCAAAACCATGGAACCAACCATGTTGCCCACAGAAAATGAACTGCATTTAAAAAAAAGGTACATACACACAATGGAACATTATGCAGTCATAAAGAAGAACAAAATTCTGGAGTTGGAAGCAACTTGGATGGAATTAGAGTCTATAATACTCAATGATTTATTACAGAAACAAAGAACTGAGTACCCATGTTCTCACTCATAAGCAGACCCTGAACATTTTACCATAATACAACAAGAAAGGGATTGGCAGTAGCTGAAACTGCGGAGGGAGGGGGTGTGTGCACATAACATCAATAAGGGTGCCTGATCTCAAACCAGGCGACATGGAATCCCAAATTTATCTGTATGATGATCACTTGTATAACTAATCCCGAAATGCACTCCACATCTTAAAAATAAAAAAATTTAAAAAAGAAAATCAACTTTATTTATAAAAGCCATGTAAACACATTACAGAAAGCTTATAAAGCAGGTATAATTTCTTTTCAAATTACACTGACAAATTCTGTTAACAGACAATGTTTCAATATCAAGTAGGTGAAATTTCTAGCTGACTCTCAAGTAAATGCTGAATTTCATGCAAAATTTTAGAAAGACTTTAATAACTGCACTAGCCGTCCAAGTCCCAAATCATAACAATAATTGGTGCTCCTGCAGCAATGAGGCAATGCCCAATTAATTATACAACATCATACTTCCCTTGTAAGTGCTATTTTGAAAATAGCGGTGTGAAAGGTGGTATTGTTTTTCTCTAATTTCTATGCTATCATTTCAGATGAAAATTACACTTTTTGCACGTGACAAATGGCATCCAGTCTGGTAAGATAATATGTAAGGAAAAAAGGTGGCATATAATTAAACACTACAAATAAGGCCAGTGCTTAGGATAGCAATAGTTCCCACGGTCCTCCTTTGAGATCGGTGCTGAAATAATTACTATCTATCTGGAATCAGATTGGAGGAAATAAAGAATTAACGCAACATTTCTAAAGTTGCTTGGGTGCTAGAATGTCATTAAAACCTGCGGCAGGCAGATGAAAGACAGCTGTGAATGGGCTGGGGCGGAGCAGAGGCTCCCCTGTTTTGTTCACTGCTGCATTCTCAATGGCTAGGTCTGTACCTGGCAGGAAG